AATAGATCGTCAGGCCCCTGTGGTGTTGCAGTATGGGGGCGCTCCACATTGATGTACGTCGCCATTAATGGTAGCTATGGTACGTGGATCTGATTATGGCTAAACCCACAATTTTAGTGATAAGTGAATTTGACCATTTATCCTCACCTGACAAATCATAGTCTCCGGAACCGAATCCAGTGGCGATATTCTCACCGAAGTCTTTGTTTTCACTGTGTTCGAACTTATCGGTCTTCGCAAGGTGATCTGCCCATTTCTGCGCATGCTTGGCGCACTCCGCCGAGAATGTCAGCGGAGCTGCTTCGTGCTTCGATCGCAGGCGGTTATGCGCCCTCAGCGCCTCCTCTTGAACATTGTCCATTCTAGAAACAAAAAAGCAATTGTATTCGTAACTTATAGATATCATTTACAGAACTACCCATAACGCAGTGCCATTATCACTACATAATCGTATCATATAATAGAAAACAACAACAGATAACAGTAACTAGCCACCCAGATCCATTCTATCACCACATGACTATATAAAACAGTACTTCCTTGCGGGAGAAAAATCGAAAAGTCGCGGGTAGACCATATTCTGCTGACATGGGTTGGTAGTATGTACACATATATCAGAGCTTTTAGGTAGGTGTGATAGTAGAGTCGCATTTAGTATACATAGGAGAATTTCTCTAAATTCTTTTAATTTGATCATGCATCTACTACAGCTCTTTCAACATCAGTGTCTGCATTGCAGCCTTGATTGAGATAAAGCGTGGTAAAAGAATTTCTAGTAGAATACACAAAACATGTAAACACTTATATGTACTCAAAAGTGACTTGGCTGAGAAAGGATTACATACAACATAAAACTCACACACAACCATCAAACACGGACACTCTTTTTAAAGTTTTGAAATTATTGATTTAACAAACATTCATTGTGTGTTTTAATAATAGATTAATCAACAGTGTGTTTACATAAGTTAAGTTATCCCAGACAGAACAAATCTCACTTGGTGCCACAATGGAAACACCTCTTTTGTTGTAGATGAAATCTACATGATTAGAAACAATGTATCAATATAAAAGTGTTAACTGTCTTGGCTGCAATGCGGATCCTGTTGCTGAAGGAGCTGTATTATGTGTAACTAACTCCGTGATTGCGCTAATGTGGCTACAACAGAATGAAAAAAGTTGGATGGGTGTTAAAACTACACTGTACATGGTGGGATCCAGATATAAAAGTCTTAAAAAGTCGGTTGAAAATCTGCCCTTACGCCCCTTTGAACTGCATCTAATCGACCGAGGTTAATACTTATATCAATAGATCTAGATAAAACAAAGTTTGGACACGGGATTAAGTACTAACACTTTATATTTGCATTGATATTTATTAGCACATGGAAACTCACGGTTTCATACCATCGTTAGTCGTACAAATCGTGAAATTAATGTTACCATGGAGATCAGTTGAACCTTGTAGGATCTCATTAATACAGATGGTGAACTGTAGATATTAAAAGATATCGAAGGACCGAGTTGACCGAGTTCTGGGGTTAACGAGAAAATACCCATGATGCTGTGCTTCATTTTGCCATTTTCTCTGTTATTAATGGTATATGTATATGGGAATATGTAACATATCTGTGAACATATTCCCCACCCTGTGTACATAACTGTGTTGGTTGGTTCATTAAGTATTTTGCGAGGGTGTTTGTAGCATAGAGCTCCACGTGTGTAGCTAGCTGACTTGTCGGTGAATAATTTGGGTTGTTTGTTCAGAAGTATTTATCATGATCGATATTATACTGCAGGCAATATATACATTCATCGTTTTTGTTACTGAAACGCTAGTTTTCTGTGGCGTCACGTGTCGGTCTATTTTTTGAAAACATTTGAATCCAATAAATAATTGTTGGCACTGAATGAATGTCGACCAACAAATAATTTAGGTTTGATAAGATATTACGGAAAAGAAATATATCATTTAGTTCTATGGTATAAACACAATGTAACTAAAAAAAAAAAAAGACACGTGTTTAAAGTTCTAAGAAATACACGAAACGATATGGATATCCCGTATACACAGAACAATGCGTGATGCGTTACAGTGAAATGTGCGTTATATGAAATGTATGAGACAATAACGAAACAGGCAAATATCTCAAAAATGCAAACAAAAAATCTGGTTTACCTTCCCATGGTGACTGAGCGTTTGCGTTAACAGGTGGTGATGAGATTCTACAACTTGAATGTGAACAGCTGACGAAACGTGATGCAGAATATGTCTATTTATAGTCTCCTGTTACGTCATCGACACTGAATAATAGGGTTGATGGAGCACTTTACAACAAAGCCCATCAGCCCATCAGTGTTGATGGACTGTGCTTATAAAATGAGATTTATTTTACAGAAAGCGTACACTTCACGTCTTACCATTCTATATTTTTTTAGATATGAAACAACGCGAGAATTTGTGGTTACGATGAGATATGACTGTCAATGATTTATCATGATTTTTAATATTTTGACACAGAGCCGTTCACCCCCATATCGAGTAGAATAACCCAGCTTCAAGTCGACGATTCACAAGTTCATCCTTTAAATGTTTATAGCTTGAATCGAGCAAATTTAATTCAAAGGCAGATAAAAAAAAGGGGGCTAACAGGATAGCAATATATACGTAATTCGACAGGTGCAATCCTAACTATCATTGATACAAACACAGAGACATGTAATTGTGGGTATTCCTCTTATCTCAGAATACTGTAGCCTGTTATAGTTGTATGAGCTCTCATGAAACCTTAGTTACAATCTTCTACCCAACTAACACCTTTGAGGGACAACAAAGTTGTGTCAAAACCAATATTACTAGTTTAGCCTTGCTGAACAACAATGGTCTAACACTCCCCGTAGTAAGGTGAAATAAGACAGCAACCCAAATCTTCTTTCACAGTTTAACAAAATTCGCGAAATGGAGGTGTTAGCGCGAAATCCTCTGTAACTGTGAAATCACCCCGTCGGGGTCACGGTGATTTCGCGCTAACACTTTCATTTCGCGATTTATATTATTTTATTTAAGCTACAAAAACAAATTAATCGCCCGACTGAGCCAGTCTACATATCCACCCGTGGAGCTTAAATCCCAAATGTTGTTAATTCACATAGAAAACAAATACCAAACGGATTATAACTACATGTCATTATCTATGGCTTGGTTACAAAGATGCTGCTATGATGATGCGTACAGCTTTCATTTTTACTACTTGGGAGATGTAACCACAGCTATATCTAGGCGGAGTCGTAATTATTCACCTTGGCGACTCAGTCGGATAATTCGTTATGACAATCAACTCAAACACAGCGAGACTGACTATACCATTTTATTATACAGTCTTAAAATAAAACGACATGTAATCGTCAAACAGTGTTTGGCTATAAACCTGATGTTTACTAGAATAAAAGTCGATCATTTTACGAGCATGAAATATACATCAATAAAACTGGAGTCGTTGTATTATTTGTTTTACTGTGTTTGAGCATGTCATAACTAAAATGAAGCAGCATACTTTTCCATACGTTTGTTTTAACAATTTTGGCTAAGACCTGTCAACAGTGGAAAAGTGTGTCCATTTGGTTCCGAATTAACAAAGAAATCATAAAATAATACACTAAAATTCGATTCACTGGGGTTTAGATTTTCACTGTAGTGGACCCCGGACACTGGGGTTCATGAGACGAACAACGGACGTGAATCGAGTGGGTGGCCTTGTTGGGTTATTGTCACATTCTTCACCCTTTACTTCAATGTTTAACACGTAAGCTAAGAAAATATAGGGCCTCTTTAAGTCGAGTTGTTTGCATATCCACAAACCATATAAAACAAAACAATGCTCGTAAACGTAGAATGGGGGTGTGTCCTGGTATTTATTGGGTTCATTGTTCTCCGTAAAGATTCGATTTGCAGACAATGCTTGCACTTTCTCGTCCGCACGCAGTATACCTACCAATGCATTGTTCTACCGCGGACCTACATTCTTGTCTTTCCGATTTACAGTCAACTGCTTTTCATTGTATTTGTTTTTTGAGGAGGGGTAGGGATAGAATAGAATCAACCATTCTAAATTCGGGTGGGGTGGCGTGATTCGTGTATATATATTACAACTACTTATATATTTGATAACAATCTGCATCCGTATTTGGGATCCGGGTCGAAAAATACATTGCAATTTAAAACAATACAATACTAGTAAAATAAAATAAAACAACAGTAACAAACTGAATATAAAGAACAACATATATGTAATACTAGTACATAATAACAAACACCTTTGAAGGCAGTATAACTAACAGTAACAATAACTACTAGTATTAAACTGGCCCAGCTGTAGTGATTTTTTCAGTTAAATTATAATGATAAGAAGCTTAGAAAAATAGTTTTGCGAAATTTGGGGTGAACGCGAAACTTCGCGGTTACAGGAGATTTCGCGCCAACACCCCCATTTCGCGATATTGTTTATTTAATTTAAGAAAAGAAATAAACTGCCTATACTTTGCCAGTCTATACTACAATATATGCGCGAGGTGGGACAGAGACTTAATATCGAGGCGATTCGGGCATGTGCAATGACCGTTCCTCACTTATATCGCTTTTTCTACCAACTAGTAACATAACACCACCGCTACCAAATATAACGTTGATAAAATGAGGTCCATGTCACGGAAAGAATTGTTTTATGACTTATTCTTTAAAATCAAACTTTGAAGTTGTTGTTTTCCGTGCCAAACATACCTTGCAATTGAAACGCTTCAGTTGTTAGAAGCTCATAAACAAGTTTTTTTTTATCACACGCGTTGTATACGTCACGACACGATGCGACAACTGGGGGCGCTTTAACACAACACCCCGTTTCGTCTTCTAGATCCCCATGCCCACAGACAACAACTATGAGTAAAGTGATATTTAACCTTTAGACCAGTCACTCTAACAGTATGAGATTACCCAACCTGCATCTATAAAAGGTCTAGTAAATTCCATACTCACAAGCACTGTGATGCACAGTCACTCTAACAGTATGAGATTACCCAGCCTGGACCTACAAGAGGTCTAGTAGATTCCATACTCACA